AGCCTTTTAAGTCTCAGGATCAGACTGGGAGCTGATGTTCAGTGGGTTGTGCCTGGATTTCCTTTCAGAGCCACAGCTTCCAGAATACAAGTCTGGCTTCCAGTCCCTGCCCTTAGATAGGTGATTTTGCAGGTAGCTACATCAAAACGTAGTTTAAGCAAGCCAAGTTTGCCAGATCTCTGTAGCCGTCTTGCCCTTGTCATTATTTATCTCTCTACCAATCCCTTCTAGATCATTTATAAATAAGTTGAAAAATATCAGTTCTGGCACTGGTTCCAGCTGAAGCCTCTTCTGACCCCTTCCAGAAATACACCCATTCAGTGATTTCTGAATCACAACTAATCAAGATCAGTTTAAGTTAATCCCAGCAATGCTGGGATTTATTAAAGGTTAGCATCGTAAGTATTCTACAAGTCTCCTGAGATAATGATTTCAGGAGTAACTTACCTGGCTCTGCCATTTTCATTTTCTGATGAACATAAAAGGTTGCCTAACTCTATCCTCCCTTCGCAAATAGTCTGAAAACTGTTTGAAACAGTATTTTATTGTCTTCATTTGATGTGAGTCCATATTCTTTCCAAAAACAAACCAGAAAAAAATTATTGAGCATATCTGCCCTTCCACATTCTTATCAGCCTTTTTACCATCACCATTTAGTGACAGTTTCCAGTACCATTACTATGCTTTCTTTTCCTCTCAATATACTTGAAAAAATCCTCCTTACAGTTGTCATGGATTACTCCAGGTTATCCTGGCTTCCTTTGTCATTTTCTACTCATTATCAACTCCAATTTATATCAATCAAATTGTTCACAACTTTCTGCCTTTCCTTTTGTATTGCTTTTTTTTTTTAAATTCTAATTCCTACTTTTACTCCACCAGTGAACTGTGGTAGGCTTTCAGCCAAAAGCAGCTATTTCTTGACTGGGAGTCATGACTTTTGAATAAACTCTTCTCATAGAAATCCTATTTCCACTCATATCTTTTCCTATCCACATTTTTCTTTCCCTTTGCCTCTCACATACCTCCCCTCCTGCATTAGTTTTTAGCAGTGCCCTGTTGGTGTCCCTTATCTCCATATCAAAGTGATCTGAGTCAGTAACCTGTAACAAACCTTCAGAGTCAAGTTATTGCTTTTCTGAACTGTAGTTTGAAAGCACCGAAGAACTGAATTCTCCATCCCCTATTTTACTTCCTCCCAAACTTTCCATTCTACACTAGTACCTTGGGCTTTCTCCCATCCCCATCCTTGCAGAATGTAGCGTTGCCTGGTCTGATACCATGATCACAGTAAAATCATCCTTTCCCCTTCATTTTCACTTTCCCCATCATGCCAATGCCTGAAAAGTGACTATTATTTCATATCTACACAACATTGGGTCATCAAGTGAAACTGCTGTAGGCATGCTAGGAATTATTGCTATTTGCTTTGCCATTCCATTATCTACAAGCACACGTAAAACTGCCACAGCTCTAGTTCCTGAAATGCTATCACCCAGGGTGCCAAACCCCATGCAGCAGAAAGGACCAGGCTGGCAATCTGCCAGCAGCTGAAAGGCTACATCTAATTGTGCATAAAGTTGAGCAGATTGTCTGCTTAGACTAGAGCAAACAAGCTTATCTTTAATGCAGACATATGGCCAGCAAAACCTACAGATCCCAGCATGCAACATTCTAGCCAGCTGGCCATTTGGATCAGAATGAAGCATTACACAATCTGATACTGTGGTGACAGATCAGTATTGCAACCCCTCCATGTTCAAAAATCATGAGTCAGGCCACTCGAATTCAGGAGTTTGGCTCAGAGAGCTGGAGACTTTGAAGAGGATAAACTGATTGAATTTGCTTTTGAGACATGGTTCACATTCTCCCACTTTTCTCTACAATCATTAAAAAAATGTATTTTTTTAATAAAAGCTAAGTTGTACAGTCACTTGCCTCTGGGAGCTGAGACACCAAGAAAAAACAGACTCACAGTATGATTAGGGGAGGAGCAGCAACATATTCTGAACTCATAAAGTGCACAAATAACCTGATAGACACACAGACAGAATCTGGAACCTGCAATCACCACAGATATCACTGGTAAAGATAAGGGTGGCAGACAGTTTTGTTACAAAATTCCAAGTTTTCCAATCTTGCACTAAACTCTCAGCTTTTACCATTGTTTCCTTTATTCAACCCGGTTTTAACTTCCTTTCTTCCCACCTCTCAGCTGTCATATAAAATGTTCTCTCTGCCTCCAACTTTCCATTCTGTAAGACACCTCTGCTCTCCTATAATGACACACCATACATTTTATGACAGTTACCCCCTTGACAGCCATCACAGATGCTCAGTCTCCAAGTGATAAGGAAACTATTCCAACTCAGTTGTTACTTTTAGACAGGTTAAAATCAGCCCTTAATCTCAGTCCTGTTCTTTAGGTCTTTTAAGATGCTAGGGAAACTCTAGCCAATGCAGGCTGGGAGGGGAGCATTACTCAGATGTCACTCACCTTCAGTCCACTTTTTGTGTATTTGTTGAGGGCAGAGACAATTCTGGCTTCAGCCACAATTCTAGATGCAATAGATTTGGGAATTCCTACTTCTGCTCTGACAATAACTGTTCAAGAGAGGATCTAACCAGGAAAGGTGAGAAAAGCTTCAGGTCAAAATGAGGGGATTTGCCAGAGCTATGAACAACATGTCAGGAAACAGAAAAAGCACTGTCTGCTCTGGGTCAGGACCAACATGCACTGGCAGAGTTGAAGGAAGGCAATCCAAGAACCAAAGCTTGAGTGCCTTGCAGCCAGGAGTGATTGACTTTGGCAGAGCCATGCTGATAAAATCAGCAGAAAGCCTGTGTCTGCCCTCTGTTCTTTTTTTTCCCCACAGTTTCACAAGCAACCAGTACTTTAGGCAACCTGAATGCTTGTTAAAGGGGGGTGGGTTGATCTTTCTTTAATGTCAAAGCTCCTATCTGCATGTGATAGAGTGCAATTAGAGAGGCTACATGCCTTGCTGATCCTGTAACCAGTTCCTGTCTTACTTCCTTCGCCTGACAAGCTCATTCCATCAATCCCCAGGTTCAGTCCAAAAAAGAGCAGGACAATACAGCCAGAGCTGCACAGGCACCATGATGAATTTTCTCCTCTTCCATTAAGAAGCACTCAGCTGCACTTGAGCTCAGGTAGTCTTTGAGAGGTAACTTTTTTTGAGGAGACTGAGATCTGCACTAACAGCAACAACCTCCCGGGAAGGGGGCAAAGGTTCACGCTTACACAGACCTCAGGTTGCCACAGGAAGACAAACGTGACAGTGGCACAACTGAGCCCCACTTTGTATCTGCCACTGGGTAAAATACAGCTACAAGTCAAATTTGATTTAAAGACTTCAACAGAACTGCCATCGTGTCTAACACACAGCATGACCTGCCAGTTGCCTCGTCCCTTGAACTAGATACGAAACACTGCAGAATGATATCTGTAATCTTTCAAAGGTGCCATTCTCCATCACAGCTGAAGGTGGCTGAAAGCAACTCTGTGATGCAAATTAGCCTTCAGGCTCTTAGCCCTCAGTGCCTGCTTTCTAGTGGAAACATAGAAAGCATGGCAGATTTATGTCCTGCTGCAGTGGCTCTGTGGTTTCAGGCCTCACAAAATTAAAATCTCCCTACCACAAACCCTAGAAAAAAAGAGGGGGGAAAAAAATGCAAACAGTAACAACGCCTGAACTAGCATACCAAACTGCAGCTAAAATTTTCTTAGGAGGTATCTAGGACCTAACCTGCCTTGCAATACTCTTTTTTGAGTCAAGAGGGCCAATTCAATGAGCCAGTGTGTGTAAAAATGTGCGGTCTCTCCAGACTACACTTTGAGGAAATGACTGCAGCAAAGACACTCTCAGTAAGTTAAACAATGGTTTAGATTTTAGTGCTGTTCACGCTCTGAACAGTCAAAAATGTTCAGAATTCAGGCAGGAGTTCACTAGGTTCATTCTCAGTTCTTTTTTGCCAAAGGAAAGATTGGCAGACAGACAGACAGACAGATAGATGGATGATAGATAGATGGATGACAAAGTCTGAAAAGCTATTTACAGCACTGGCAATTCACTGTCCTTCCAGCCAATTCCATCTGGCACAGGACGCCTACTATCCTATCCTGCTACTCCAGGATAGGAATAAAATAGCAAACCTAAGTTCTGATTGTGTCCCAAGAATATTTCTAGACAGCAAGATGTGGAAATGCTTGGCCCAATCTGAAAAATGCAGCAAATCAGCAAAAAGCAGTTAGAAACAAATAACAAGCAGGTTAAAATCAGCCCTTAAAATATCCTCCCATCTCTTTAGAGAAATATCCTGCCAGAGGAATCCTTGGAAGAGGCTTTAAATACATTTAACAGTTGTCCAGCAGAACCGTAGAGATGTGAACTGAAGATACATTCCAGCATGCACGTCTTCCTTTCTCCTTCCACAGTGTGTAATTCTGGTAGAGTACAGATTATTCCACACTACAGCATTTCTAACACAGTTTATCAAAGGAAAGTTTGAATTCAGCCTCTCGGAGATACCAGCTCCATGTTAATGAGAGCCCATTTAGATAAAGAAGAGCAATACTGGGTGGAGCAAGAGGTGTGAAATGCTTCAAACCACATAAATTCCCTCTATCACTGGTGGAGTTCTCTCTCCTGGTAGGGACACCAGCTATCACAAGCTTTACAGAAGTCAGGAGGGAATGTGGCACTCAGGCAGAGGGGGTAACTGCTGATGTGCTCAGATCTGTTGTGAGGATGTGACAGGCCTGGTACACTTACATCTTACCACTGTAAGCATTTATAATTGCTTAAAAAGGGAATTAAGTACAACACTTACAACATTAAAGGACAAAGTTCCCTTAATTTGCAGGAACTTCTCCCAAGCACACCAATGCCACAGTAACACACGCCTTGTCACCTCGGCATTTCCTAAGCTACTTGGACTGCCTTCCCTTTCATTGTATCTCTTGATTCTGCCACCTTTACCTTGTGGGATATCATGCTCCAGAGAGTCTAGAAAGTCAGTGGATGGGTCCAGGTCAGCCTTTTCCAGCAGGGTTTTATTCTTCAGGTTAACAGGCTCGGTAAAATGGAAATAGGAACTTAACTTTTTTGCCTCCGTCAAAGAAAGACCTGCAAACAGTCATTGGTGACCATTAATACAGTGAGCTGGGCTAACATACATTATACCATCGAATGTCATATTGTTTCTCTAACACCCACAGCACAGGACAGAATCACAATCTTTCTCCAACGGACTCCACAGAAGACCAAAGACTTGCCAGATATGGGCGGCAGTACTCCCTGATGCTGTGCATTACAGACCATGCTAACTGCAGTCCCAGATAAGCAATGGGCATGAGTTGAGACCAACTCTCTGTGCCCATTTGGTTGCATCCTACCTCTAGATGGAGAGTTCACTGCAGCTATAATTGCTAAACACTGACATAAACTATACACAGACAAATGAAACTACAGGTTTAATGACTCAGAGCCATTACTGACTCTCCTCCCACCTTCCAGAGTTGAATCATGCACCTGAACTTTAGTGGCATTGGATTGTCTCCTCCCTGTTCATCTTACCCAAGATAAAAATAAACCTGAAATCAAAACATCAGCTAGAGAAAGTCATCTTAATTTACAGCCTTTATGATCAAAGTACAGTTGATCCTGATAAAGACAATGAGAATTTACCTTCAAAGTTTCTGTTTTCACGCACAGACCCAAGAGGAGTCTTCAAAAATGCCCCCCGGGGGATGATACCAACTGCTCTGTCTATCTGTTCTATCGTAGCTACGAGGCGGGACTCCTCCTTGATCATGGGCTTTAAAGAAAAATAGGCAAATTTTAAAGGCAGGGCTTTCCTTGTTGTCATTTCTGAAAATAAAACTCGAGGTGACAATAGAAACAACAAGAGACTCATCAGCTTGGAGCCCGATGGCACTAAGAGGAGGACCACAAATCGGACATTCTTCTCATAAGAAGAGAAGCAGGAGCAGACAGTGTAGATTCACCAGAGAATTAACTGTTCCTCCCTTCATCCATCCTTTCCTCCTTCTCAATTAAGCTACTTATGACTTGTCTATTCTGTCATAAAGAATGGTATCTGCAGTTCCTATGTAAAGCTTCAGACACTGCAGTGAGGATCTGTACCAATTGTGCATAATAAAACATAAAGGAGAAAGAGTATTTCTCAGCTGTGTCTAACTCCAGGAGTAACTGAAGCAAGAGTTCAATCAAGAAGCCATTGCTACACAATGACAGTGAAGAGGAAATTGTATATATTCTGCCTGAGCACAGGCTCAGGCTGCTTATTACAAACAAGGAGGAGGAGCCACCACCTGTCCAGTGTGAGGGGTACAACTGTAGCGAAGAGAGTTCGAAAGTGTTTTGCTGTATTTACCTCCTTACCATCTTCAAACAATCTTTCAGCATCTTCTGCATTTATCTCAGTGTACTCGTACTCAAAAGAAGGATCCCCCTGGAAACGGCCCTTCAGCTGCTCAGCCTGCGCAACCATTTCCTCGGTCGCTGGTGGCAGGAGGCTCCATTCCACGCAGTTCAAGCTGCCAGCGACAAGCACGACACAGGCCCGGGCCCGCTGAAGCACAGGGCTCGATGCAGCCTTGCCAGGCCCCTCAGGGGCACAGCGAGGCTCCCTCCAGGAGAGCTGGGCAGCCCCCTCCGACCCCCCCACTCCCTCTCTTCTCCCCCCCAGCCCCCAAACCGGCCTCCCGAGGCCGTTTAGGGGTCCCCGGTCCCACCTCCCCAGGGAGGTCCCCGTCCCCTGCACGGCGCGGC